AGAGGATGTGAAGTGTATAAAAATCTTTACAAACAAAGATCACGAAACTCAGCGGTGAAAAATCTTGGATCTGCTCAGAAAACTTACACTGAGGCACCTGAAATCGAAAATCAGGAAATTTTCCCAGCATTGCCGACTTCACCTTCCCTCGTCATCCAACAACAACCATCCATCTCTACAGCTAAGGACTCGCCTCACCAGAATCTCAGAAATTCTCACTCCCAGTCTTCCATCAGTAAGAAGCAGCCTCAACGTCAGGCGCCTCAGGCCTTCCAATCCAAGCCCAAAATCCCTAATCCTCAGCCTCAACCTCGCCAGCAAATCCCTCCTCATCATTTACCCTTAAGAGTCAAACTCCCGCCAGAGCATCCACATCCAGCTCCATTCGTTCCTAATCCCAGGATGAACCCCCCTCCACAAGTCCAACAGAATTTAGATCCTCCTCGTACCCCACGACGGGCCCAGCCCCCACCCAACATTCCTAATCGCATAACCTACTCATCACAACCTCCTGATCCAAACCCACTTCCCAGCCAAACACCATCCGACATCAACACTATCTTATCGTCATTCCTGATAGATCTTCAACAGACTATCAAACCGCTCATAACCCTTCTAACCAGACTCCTTTCCGAAATCCCGCTTAGCTTCCCTCGATGAACACGAAGTCCCTAGCTATTCTCTTATGGAACGCTAATGGACTGCAAAACCACCGTGACGAACTAGACATATTTCTCCATGACAATTATATTGACATTGCTCTCCTGACAGAAACTCACTTCACCCAACGGACACATTTCTACATACGTGACTACATCACCTATAGATCTGACCACCCAGACAACACTGCCCACGCCGGTTCTTGCATCCTTATCCACAAATCTTTACCCCATTCACTTATTCCTTCTATTCCAACAGATGCCATTCAGTCAACTTCTGTAATCCTCTCAACTCGTCCTTTCCATCTAACACTTTCAGCTGTATACTGTCCTCCTGGCAATTCCCTCTCGTACAGCCTACTTGAATCCTTATTACAATCCCTCGGATCGCGCTTTATTGCTGGAGGAGACTACAATGCTAAACACCAACGATGGGGTTGTCGATCATCCAACTCCCGTGGTAATACCCTTTCACAAGTTTCTTCTTCCAACAATTATTCCATCCTCTCGCCCATGAATCCTACTTATTTTCCAACATCCCTCAAAAAACGTCCCGATATCCTGGACATATTTATCACCTCCCAGATTTCCTCCTCCCAAACTATAATCAAATCCCTGGATGACCTTTCTTCAGACCATAGTCCAGTTCTGCTTTCACTACATTCTGACTTTGCTCCTAAACCATCACTTCCTAAACTGATCACTGGACGAGTAAACTGGGACAAATTTCGTGATGATTTGGAAAACAAACTCGACCTCAAAATCCCGCTAAAGACAAAAGAAGACATTAATTGTGCCATAGAAAAACTGACATCATCAATAACAGACAGTATAAATAATAACACATTTATCAATAAGATTAACTTCCCACAAAATACTAACTTGCCACAGCATATTCGTATCTTATTACAGGAAAAACGCAGAGCAAGATCGAAGTGGCATAGGACTAGATACCCAACAGATAAATCGCATTACACCCAACTGACTAACAAACTGAAATCAGAAATAAGAAAATACAAAATTCAAAATTTACTAAATTTTACTGAAAAACTTTCAACCACTGACAAATCATTATGGATGACCACCAAAAAACTTCTTAAGTTTCAAGACTTTAATCACCCACTACTTACTGATTCCCAAACCTGGTCCAAATCCGACGAAGAAAAAGCCCAACTATTTGGTCAACATCTCTTCCAAACTTTTAACCCACATCCCGATATCCTTAATTCGACTCACATCAATTGTATTGAGGCAGAACTGGATATTCCTCTCCAAATGTCTCTGCCACCCAAAGCATTTCATCCCATAGAAATATCCAACATCATTCAAAAATTGCCTTCCCGTAAAGCTCCTGGACATGATCTAATTACATCCCAGATCCTAAAACTTCTTCCTCGAAAAGCCATCCTATTCCTTACTTACATATATAATGCTGTACTCCGTTCTACATATTTTCCTGATCCTTGGAAACGATCTATTGTTAAAATGATCCACAAACCCAAAAAACCACCAGAATACCCATCCTCTTACCGTCCTATCTCTCTTTTACCCATCATGGGCAAGATCCTAGAAAAACTCATCTTAAAACGCCTGTACCCTATCCTAAATTCTAAACACATAATCCCAGATCACCAATTTGGTTTCCGAACTTCCCATTCCACTATACAGCAATGTCATCGTGTGGTAGACGTAGTATCCTCTGCATTGGAGCGCGGAATGTACTGTACGGGAGTCTTTCTCGACGTTGAACAGGCGTTTGATAGAGTTTGGCACCCGGGACTGCTGTACAAACTCCGAAAATTCCTACCACCTACATACTTCCTCATTATCCGTTCTTACCTTACTGATAGATACTTTAAAGTAAATCACAATAACGCCTATTCATCCCTTTTTTCCCAGTCCGCTGGTGTTCCTCAAGGTAGTATCCTAGGTCCTATCCTCTATACAGTTTATACAGCTGACATCCCAACCCATCCCAACACTGTCATCACCACATATGCCGATGACACATGTATCCTATCAGTAAACAATGACCCAGCAATTGCATCCCAAATGCTTCAATCACACATCATAAATCTAGAAGAATGGTGTCAAAACTGGAGAATTAAAATAAACTCCAATAAATCCCACCAAATTACCTTTACCCTTCGTCGTAAACCAACGACTTCCTGTCCTACAGTTTCCTTTAACAATACTCCACTTATCCCTGTTGAGCAAATCCGATACCTAGGACTCCACCTGGACAAACGACTAACTTGGAATCCTCATACTAGACTGAAACGACAAGAAACCGCTCGACGTTTCCGATTACTTCAGCACTTACTAGACAAACGCTCTAAACTTCCCATTAATTACAAAAGACTCATATACTTGACTATAATAAGACCTATTTGGACTTACGGAGTTGAGCTATGGGGCTCCACTAAACCATCGAATTCCTCTCGCATCCAATCCTTACAATCCAAAATCCTTCGTAAAATCCTCAATGCTCCTTACTTTGTCACTAATAAAATTATCCATAAAGATCTTAATGTTCCTTATGTTTCAGATCTGGCCCAATCCAGATACCTATCCTTCCATAATAAACTTCAGAATCATCCCAACCCTCTCGTTTCTAACCTTGCTTCCTCTTCAATTCCTGATAACCCTCCGAGGCGTCTGAAAAGAAGATGGCCCCGTGATCTCCTAATGTAGTCATATCATTAGAGTGCTACCATTGGGTAGTTACTCAGCAAGTGTATTCATGTCATTATATCAATTATGTTCAAATTTACTTGATGTATTTATGTAATACAGTTGTAAATGTCATAAAGAAATAAAAAAAAAAAAAAAAAAAAAGTTTCTGAGATATTTTAATCCTTATCTTCAATAAAACTCGTAATCATTTGGTTTTCGATACTATTTTTTCTCTTTCGCCTCTCACAGCGTCGCGTTTTGATACAAATTTAAATAATAGCTCATTACAAAGAAGATGAAATGATGAACATTTCCCTCGCTTGCATTATGCAGGTCCGATTTTTAGTTTCTGAGATATTTTAATCCATAAACAAAAACACTTCAATTAGTAGATCCCAGCCGATTTTACCCGAGCGTTACACATCGAAGATCTGCCGGATCAATCTAATTCACTCTCCACAAAAAAAAATCTCAAAAAGCGCCTAAAGAAGTTTTCACTCAAAAAATATCAATTTTTAGTGATTTTTTATCTCTTTCATTTTCATTCTATCCTATCTTTTTTCTCCTTTCAACACTAGATGGCACTGCTGTTAGTTTAATACTTCCTTAATCTTCCGTTAGATGGCTACCCACGTAAAATCCGATATTTCTAGAATAATCAATGTATATTTTATTTATAAACTTCTTCATTTTTACTTTTCCTTTTACATTTTCTCCTACGTCATCTCTCGTATGTTTTTACTTTTTAATCTTCTTTCTTCAAAACAAAAAAAAATTTCGACTTTGTTTTCTTTAACATCTTCATACCCCGCTCCTGTTCCATACCCTTTATATCCACGTTGGATGTTAAGCAGAATCGAATTTGGGATTTAATTATGGGAGGCTATTTTTAAAATATTATTTTTGTTTTTGTTTTAAAGCTGTAATCATTCTGGAAGAAATAAATAAACAATATAAAATGATGTTTATTAATGAAAACAAAAAGAAAATTAAAGGAACAATAACGCATTTAGGAATAAATTATTTATATTTTTTCCTTGGCATGTGTTTACATTTAATAGCTTTTTATGCATTATAATCTAAAAAGAGATACATATCCATATAAGGTGGATTGTTTACCCTGTAATATGTCAACAACTATATCTGTTAACTAGCTTAGTATTGTGTTTGCTATAGCACTGTGAATATGGAAGAAAATATCACTCATTATCGGTATATTTTGTTGTATTATTTTAAAAATTGAAATATTGGATATCTAAGAAAATACATTTACCCGTGCGCAAGCGGAAGTGCTGGATGAAATTTGATAAAATTGATATGCCACCATTTAGACACAAATCTGCACAATTCCTGAAAATGTCATGAAAATCGGATAAACGATTGTAGGTGATATGCGCGTTACATCAATTTAACTATAGACAGACGCCGAACCAAATTTGAACCTTGATGTCTGAAACTTAAAACGCAAGTGAAAATTTTCGACTCTGATAAAAATTTATTTTTAACCTCTCTCACGAATACAAAGCTTCCATATCTTCGGTAGTGAGAAAGCAAAAAAAAAAAAAAATTCAGTCGCTTTATTATAGACTAAAATTAATTATTATCTTTTTTTTTTATTTTGACAAATCATACTAAAATATAAAATGAATAAAGAACTATGCTCACCTTGTATCCCGCCGTCGTTAAACCCGCGTTCCTTTTGGCCAAGACGCACTTCATCCTGATGAAGAAGGCCCGCTCCATCTCGAATTCTGAATACAGATAGTTCAAAACACAATATTAGTATTTTGCAGGTATTACGTAAAAACTAGGCCAATAACGTCCTACTGACCTTGCAGAAGAGGGTGGTGGTGCAGCGGCTGGTGGAGGGACAGCACCGAAGACATCTCCTCGTGGTCGTTGGGGTGGATGTATTCGAACATGCTGTTCCCGGTCAGTTCCACCTGGAGCACGGCTATAGGTAAGAGTCTTTTATTCACAAATGTAAACCACACACTCTATGTTAATAATGCATTTTATTATTAACAGTAACATTGCATCTGTATCGTCAAGCATATAATCTTACATCTGGATGTATATTTAGACCTACCCAAACCTCTCCGTCGTTCTCTGACTGAAGAGGTCTGAGGATAAGGTCAAGCTTTGGAATAAAATTAATCCAGAACGACTTTACTTCGAAGTAGGAGTGCCCAAGCTGCTCCATAAAAATTTTTGAGGGGGCCACATTTCGACGGCCTGAATTTTCGAAATGAAAAGTTTCTAATCAAAATACAAATGGGAGCATGGAAAAGACTGCAGGATGTGTAATTGCATAGAATATACGAATTTTTAAATTATACTTTAGTCAGTAGTGTTACTAAGGAGATGATGGCAATAAAATATCTTGGAAGGGGTGAAGGAAGATTCGTGTGCCATCGATCTTGGGGGGATGGACACCCCTGCTTCGAAGCAATGAGCAACACCATTTTTTATAAATCTAGAAATGGCTAAGTTGTGAGGATAAATTTGGAGTAACTTAAAACCAACAAGAATTACATATTACATAGCACAAGTTACAAATTCTGAGAGAGGCACATAACAGGATTACAGATTTTTGGAGGAAATTGTGTTTTTGTTATTCCATTTTAGATAACTTATGAACAATGAGGTCAAATGAGAGAAAAACTCCAATTTTTATAATTTCACATTAATTTAAACCGTATTTAATAAGAGTTAGCAATAACTTTTCTTGTGATATTAAGAGTATTCTTCCTTGGAGACAGGGATAAACACCCCTAAAATCTAATATATTAATTACTAGATTAATAATCAGATTTGAGTATATTAGTAGTTTTCACTGGTTGGCATATTCCCACTTGCTTACTGTTAGATTTTAGAATAATTTATTGAGTGGTTCGGCGTTTAGCACATGGCAATATGTGAAATTAAATATTGGAGAAATAAGAAAAACCGTTATCTTATAAAATATTATAAATTAATTCCGCTGCTATGAATAGCACAAAATTGCACCATTAATGAGGAAATTGCATCATTGCAAGCAGAGCAAGAAATTCTGTTTCATTGGCCTTAAGACATCTGGCATCCTCGGCCAATGATATCATCTCTTCCAAAACAAATTAATTTATATCTTATCCGGCTTTATATTATTGAGATAAGGTTAGATTAAGAGTTATCTTAGGCAATCAACAACTTGATTATTACTCCCAAGTGTGAGCTATTGTGTTCTTTTTAATTTATCTTCACGGATGTATAAATTCCCAATTATATTTGGAGCTTGCTAAAATTTTATGCACACACATATATATATGCAGTTATATTCAATATATAAGTAATACGTTTTATAGATAATTTATTGCTACTTTTCATATATTGCATTAATTCTTATACGTTATGGTACAATTGTGTTTCTTTTAAAAGCTATATAATATTATCTATTGAATCTCCTGAGACTTTTAATGCTAGTTCACAACAACGGGTTATTTTTATTTTTTTTTTTATAAAGGTTTGATGCAGTAACGTACAATCTTCTACTAGGGTAAGCGCAACAGTGATGAACTAAGGAAATTATTGTCTTTTTTTTCTAATGCTGACGTAATTATTATTGTTATAAATTTCTCCGTTGGACTTATAAAATCTCTATGGTCTCATTTTTCTATTTAAAACTGTAAAATTGAAAAAAATATTCAGTTATGCAAGTATAATCTCCATTAAAAAAACAACAACACACTATTGCACTAGTGATGTGATGGACACATCGAAATTCAATTGTTCTAGTAATTGATAGGGGGTCGGTACCAATAATAGACATATCTCAGAAAAATTGTAAAATATTTATTTAACTATAAATATAACGATAAAGTTAATATAAATGTTCGACTTAATCTGATGTGAGGTCTATAGTGTAATTGCCTATAGCTTTTGATTACGTATTTTCTAATTATTTATAGTGTTTTTTTTGTGTTAATTGTTCTATTTCATAATAAGTTTCTGTTAGTTTGTTCATTAATTATGTTATTTTGTCGTTACTGTTCCTGTTAATTTCGTTTTATTGGTGTATATAGTTTTGGACTGTTAGGTTAAGTGTTTCTTTTAAGTGTTATTTCTGTAGTACGTTTTGTAAAGTTCTTCAGTAGTGAAATATTGGGTTAGACATTGTCGTACCTTAAGGTAAGTGTCAGTGTAAGACTCGTCAAGTTTATTTCACTATAACCTTTTATCTACTACTTAACATTTTTCCAGAAAATAGTTTTAAAGTGTGTTAAGTAAAACTATTCGATCCCTTGGTAGCTAAAACTACCTTAAGCTTCCCTAGGAAGCCGAAAGACTCTTTAGGAAAGATAAGTAAGTTTTCTTTTATTTAAAGGTTACGTCACTTTTAATTTACTATGTTGAATGATAATATAGTTGAAGGAGTGGAACCTCGTAAAGAACGAAAACGTACGATAAAGAGGGCCAGGAAGGGTTCCCCTGTTGCTAAAAAGAAATTGGAAGAGGGCTCTAATCTATTTCTTGAAGCCAAGCGAATACAGGAGAATCTCCGTTTATACATGGTCAAACATGAAAACAAGCCCGTAAGTAGTGTTAGGGACCATATTAGCAACAAGATTCAATGTCTTGTTAAGATGATTGAGACCTCAGAAGACGAAGATACTCAAGATAGTTATGACAGTGTACTTACCCTTGTCCAAAGAGCAATAAATGAAACATTGTCATCGGAAAAGGTGCATGACATGTTAACCAAAGTTATCGTTGAGGCTTCTGTGCCAAAGGTTTTGGAGGCTCTTTCAAGTTCAGCACCTCAACATTTACAGCCTAAGGCAGGACCCTCTGGAGAACAGCACCAACTTGCTAATCAAGATATGGATCATTGTCCGGAGTTAACAGAGAGATTCGAAACCGTCAAGAGTAAGAGAAGGAGGAAAAAAACTAAAGCTACTAATAAAGCACTTACTTCGTCAAACAGAGTGATCTCAATAGAACCGAAAGCTCTAGAACAACGACGGCAAGAGAAACCAATAACCATTGCGGATATTGTGAAATCTTTGCCTACAAAGCCAACTCAAACTGAGAGATCGACTTATATCACTATAAGCGGAACTGGCAAGAGACCAGCAGATATAATCAATGGGTTGCCTTCACCAAGCGAAATTGGAGTAAAGGCCTCCATTGTCCGTACGACCAAGACTGGCTCCGTGTTGGTCCGCATGGATAATAGTAGTGATGCCACGAAGGTGATTGGATGGCAAGGGCTAAGAGACAGTGGCCTTCAAGCCAAACTTGCCTTGAGGAAGAAACCTAGATTGGAGGTTCAGGGCGTCCCCCTCTCATGGGATTCAGCGGAGTTGGTGAGATTTTTATGGGAAAGAATACCCGAGAAGTCGGTCCCCACTCCGCTGGTCGTTGATGATATCCGGCCACTTTTTTCCTCAATGGCAAGAAATGGCTTTACAAAGAATTGGGTGATAGAAGTGCACCCTACAGTTCGATTCCTGCTGTTGGAAATAGGAAGCTTAGATGGAGGATGGTGGAGTATTACAATCAAAGACTACCTCGACGCTCCTCGATGCAGTAAATGTCAGGGATATGGTCACACTAAGGCCACTTGCATATCAAATGCCGTAGTCTGCATTTGGTGCGCTTCCACTGGCCATGTTATAAAAGATTGCCCTAAGAAAAAAGAACTGGCTAGCCCATCGTGCATCAACTGCGAGCGGGTAAATGCGCCTGCTAGTCAAAGGAAGCACAAGGCGGGAAGTCGGGAGTGCCCTGTGCACCTGAAGTGGGCTAAAGAGGTAGCGAAGAGGACCTTTTATGAGTGAGCTTACCATCCTCCAGCTCAACATGGGGCGCCGGCATATAGTGGCAGACGAACTCCGGGCTCTTTATCCGCGCTACGATGTTATGGCGGTTCAAGAACCGACCTGCCGTGGGAACTTAGTAACGGGGTTTGGCCTCACATCGAGAGTTATAGCTTTGGGCAGTAGAGAGAGGAGGCCCAGGGCTGCTATTGTGATTAATAATCCTAACCTCGATGTGATGGATCTGAGGCAGTATACCACGGCGGATTGTGTCGCATGTCATATCAAGTGGCGTAATATTTCCTTTACGCTAGTTTCATCATACATGCCTGATGGAAATGACATAGAAAGGGACATAACCGCTGTGGAGATGATCACGGCTTGCACTCGGAACGTGATCATCTGCTCAGATACCAACTCTTGGAACACGGTCTGGGGGTCCAATCGAACCAATAGAAGAGGCGTCCAGCTTGGTGAATTTATAGCAAGGAGCCAGCTACTAGTCATAAACGATTCCTCCGCTATTCCAACGTTCTCCAGTGCAAGAGGCCACAGCTGGATCGATGTGACTTTGGCATCACCGGTGCTGGCAAACCGCATCATCGATTGGACCCTTCGATCTGAGACGAGTTCCGACCATCAGGCGATATCTTTTAGGCTGGTGGAAAGTTCATTTAGTTCCCACGGCACAGACAAGGGTTACATAACCCGAAGAAAAGATTGGAGCGCCTTCCGGTCGACTCTGGAGGGAAAATTGGTTGATGAGGAATGGGATGAGGCTGACATGGATCAGACTCATGATCTGGATTACAGAGTATCCAGGATCACAACTGTCATCCGTGATGCTGCTGAAGAATCCCTCCAGCATCGGAAGGCGAGAGTTCGACCTGTCCCATGGTGGACGCCGGCCTTAACTATGATGAAGAGAGAGCTCTACAAGGCCCGGCGGTCGTACCAGAGGTGTATTTGTGACGAGAGGCGCATTACACTTCGTGACGAGTACAAGTCTAAAGCCAGGGCATATCGAAATGAGGTGCGCTTACAAAAGCGGAAGTCTTGGGACGAGTTCATTGTTGAGGAGTCATCAAAGAATCCTTGGGGTATTCCTTACAGAGTGGCTCTGGGTAAGCTGACACCACAACAAGTGATTGCTGCGCTCAAGTGCGGAGCTACCCATGCAACCACTCTGGAAGAGACATCGAAGATGTTTATAGCAGAAATCTACCCCAGAGATGATCCGTCCCAAGATAATGAAGAAGAGGAATTCATAAGGCGCACTACGGTATGTCCACCTGGTACGGACTTGTGCCCACCATGGGACATATGGGATCTCCGTGCTGCTGTGGACAGGCAAAGGACTGGTCGTGCTCCCGGTTTAGACGCAATCGATGCGGCTATGCTAAAGAATAGTATCCCCTATATCGAAGATACGTTGTTGGAGTTATTCAATGATTGCCTTGATAGGGGATACTTTCCACGAAATTGGAAAATTGCCGACATAAGGCTCCTTTACAAGGGAGGAGACAAGGACAAGCAATTAGCCAAGTCTTATAGGCCTATATGTCTCCTCCCTGTTATGAGCAAAGTGCTAGAGAACCTACTCCTGGTGAGCCTACGACCAGTCTTCTCAAGAGCGAGCCATCCACGGCAGTACGGATCCACTAAGGGTAGGGGAACCGTGGATGCCCTGCTAAGAGTGCGCAATGACGTCGAAGAGAAGGCGGAGAAGTATGTTATGCTCCTCCTGTTTGATATCTCCTCCGCCTTCGATAGTGTTTGGTGGCCTTGCGTACTCCAGCAGTTGCAGAAGTATGAAGCTCCCAGCAACTTGTACGAGCTATTACGGAGCTATCTTCAGGACCGAACTTTAAGAATCCGGGGTAACTTCTTCGAAGTTGAAGACTCCATGGAAAGAGGTTGTCCCCAGGGTTCTGTTCTAGGTCCTGCCCTATGGAATTTAGTCTTCAATGAGTTGTTGGGAGTACTAGAAGAGGAGCGGTTCCCCGCTACGGCTTATGTGGATGATCTGGCCGTTGTGGTAGCCTCGAACAGCAGAGCCCGACTGAAAGAAGAAGCTGAAAGGTGCGCCAACTTAGTAGAAGAGTGGTGCGAGAAGAAGAAATTCAGGATGGCCGCCGCTAAGACTCAGGCCATCCTCTTGAAAGGCACGACTGATAGGGCTCACCCTATAACAATGGTTGTACAAGCATCAAGAATACGTCCAAGTGAGGTTGTCACCTATCTTGGGATTAGGATAGGAAGAAAGTTCAACGTGACACCTCACTTGGACTACTTGAGAAGTAGAGTAGCCCTAACCCTTAACGGACTCAGTCGTATTGGGGGCGCATTTTGGGGACTCAGGTACCCAGCAACTATGACCATTTATAAAGGTGTTATTGTGAGTATCCTGAGGTATGCGTCCCCTGCCTGGAGCCAAAATCTCTCGCACAGACAGAAATGTAGGTTGGCCACGATTCAGCGGATGGCTCTGCTTCGAGTATCCAGATCATTCAGGACGGTGTCTCATGAGGCTGTGCAGGTCTTGGCAGGAGGAATACCTCTCGACCTCCTGCTGAGAGAAGACTACTACCGTTATAAGATTAGGAGAGAATGCTTAGCGGCTCTACCGGATTACCTCCGAGTGAGAATAAGAGATGATCCAAGAAACTGGAAGAAGATTCTCCGGGAGGATACAGTAGAGGACTGGAACCGACGGTGGTTGACGACTCCCAAAGGAGCTACTCTAAGGAAGTACTTCCCCACCGTCAGTTCGCGACTAGAAGCGACTTGGGTCCTCCCGGACTACTGGATTTCACAGATTCTCACGGGGCATGGGGGTTTCCGAGCAAAGCTCGTTCAGTATGGTATAAATATCGATCCCCTATGCCCAAGTTGTGGGGTACCGGAGACCGCTGAACATGTTGTGCTTACCTGTACGGTCTATGAGTCACTGAGGGCGAAACTGTTGAGAGAAACAGGTCTCTTTGTCCTAACAGAGAGAGATCTTCCTCAACTTATGGACAAAGAAAGATACGATCATTTTAAAAGTTTTATATACGGATGGAAAGAAGTTGTTCTACCAACCCACTTCTCTTTGGGAAGAAGAAGAGAAGCTGCACCGGGGAGACCACCAGAATAAGAATAAAAGTATACCAGATGCAAGTGAAGAGAAGAGCAAGCTGTGTGCACAGCTCAGAAAAATAATGTAATAGCCAAAAATGCAGCAGTGGGTTGTTATGTAACAGTAACATCCCACTACTGCAAATACCCGTATTGCCTTCAGGCAGGGGAGGGTTGAAAATAAAATAAAATGTTCGACTTAATCTTAGGAAAACTATTAGGAGGAAGGTATGAAGCACTCGGATCTCATGAGTACCATAGAAACAACATTGAGAGGCACTTTAAAAAATTTCTTTTAGAAACATTGTTCATACAGTTGTCAATAGAAGGCATTTTTCTTCAATCTAGAAAAAAATTAAATCTTTAAATCAACAAGGAAGCTTATTGTTTACATTTAAAGTCCAACCTCTTCATCGCTGCGCCTCCTGTCTATAACTGGCGTTCACCCTATGTGCTTTATGCTTAGCGGGGACTGACAGGTATCGCAATATTATTATATTACATAATAGTTTTAATCATAGGCTAAAGTTGATTTATTTCCTATTTTTTAATATCTCTCAACAAATGGTGGGTCGCTCCTCCAGAATGGAACCTCCACGTACTCATATGCTCGTACTGCCCTTCTCTTAGCCCGGTACCAACAATTTGGGTAACAATAATTTAGTCAGGATTGGAAGCGAAGGGGATTTTAATGATATAAATAAATACAAGCTTAAACACAAAATGAACCAATTGAAGTTTTTCATATTTTTTTGTGTTGATACATACTACGATGTACATTAAATTTAAACAATATTACAGAATGCTTTATTTTAGAGGATTTCCTCCACTTTCATTCTAAAAAAAAAATAGTAGATACTTTGCAGACATAGAGATCTTGAATTGCTAATATCTGAGATAATAAAATATTCTAAAACTGAAATGATAAAAAAATATCAAACTATAATCAACGAAATGTACCTGTGATAGACCAAGGTGTACAGAAGCGGTCTCTGATATGTACATGATTTTACCATCTGGAGCGACTACGAAGATAAAGCCATCAAGAGTCTGAAATATAAAAATTAATAAGTTGAAATATAGATATATAAAGAACGTCGCGCAATAAATTCAAAAATTCATGTTTTTTGAAATATTCGTATATATATATTTTTTTACATTTTATAATTTGTTTCTGTATTTAATTTATTAAATTTAAAGTGCTACCAGTGGGTAGTTTCTCAACAAGTCATTTCATGTTATTATTTTCTGTTATCAATTTTTTTAATAAAGTTGTAAATATCATGAATAAATAAAAAAAATAAATAAAAAAAATTATTAAAATTTAAATATAGTATATAGGTGTGAATGTGTTTTATTTATTTTATTATTATTCAGGTTCAACCTATTATTTTATTTATCTTGTATATATGTATATTAGTATTGCCCAAATGCGAGACCAAGGCGAGTCTCGGTCTTGTACTTGGTCTTGGTCTTGCGCAAGAGTCTAGCAACTGTCTTGCAGTTACCTATTAGCTTTTCACTATAAAGATATTACTGTAATATTTTAGATGAGAGAACCTTAACTAAGCCCGAATGAAAAATCAAAAGAGTTAAATGCAAAAGTATATTGGTTATAGCAGTTCTTAACATTAAAATTGTCAAAAGTTATTTATATTTACATATAAGTTATTTATATTTATTTTCCTTTCGTATGTACATATTTTTTGAATGGATACGGTAGCATTAGTACCGTACAGTACCCTTCAGTGTGGCAGACTGCATTAAAAAAAATATATATTAAAATGGCGGTGACGGGAGAAAACAATTGAGACCTCCAAAAGGCACTCCTCTAACGCCAAATGATTTTACATAACGTTTTCAACATTCTAAATTCAGAAAGGTTGTAGTGATGCGCAAAATAATAACAAAAAAAATAAAGAAGAAAAATGGTAATGAATAGGAAAAAGCTTAGACGGCCAACTTTGGAAACATTAAAAAACAGCATTTTTTTATTTAAAATAATATTGAACAATATAACCTTAATCTTATACTTGCTTTTGCTTTTATTTACATATAACTAAAGAATGTTTTGCGTTGTATTGCTGAATTAAAAACATTCTATATTTATAAGCATATATAAAGTTCATTGCGTTTTATGATGTTTGCCTTAAAATATTTGATTCTATATTCCTGTAAAATCGGACAAACAGCGACGTATTGTTATACATCCTCTATTAAAGTGTTGTTTAGAAACAATAATTTTCCAAGAAATTGAAATATAACTTTAATAAAATGCATTTAATTTACATCTGATATGTAATGCATTTCACTTAAGTCACTGTTGAAATCCTTATAAAGGTAATGAAATCTAAAATCCATTTATAATAAGTTAAAACGTTTTTATTTTTATATGATGTATTATATTTATAACTTTAATTGCGTCATTGATATGCATTTTAATCATTTTATGTAGTAAAGTACAGGCTTCCCTATAAAACTGGAAATCAATAAGACAAATGGCCCTTTCTACTGTTACCATAAAACACTCCATTAAAACGACAAGGGACACGAGCCCGCATAATTGAAGGGCTTTCAGATGAACAGGTCGAAAACTTGGCTTGCGGCCTTCCTCACAAGTTCATTTCCTCTTCAGTAATTGAATGCTCTAGGACGACCTCCTTTCATGCATTTTAAACGGCCTGGGGAAACATAACTTACAGGTGTTGTCTCGTCCCTCTGGGTGTATAAGATTGAAACCAGTCAATGCTCAACTCGCTTGTTACATTAGCATTCGAATTGCAATTATAATAAATGGCGCAGACTACAGGGGGTACAAGGGGATGACCTCTCCACAATAAAATGTTGAGGGACGAGAAGATTGTTCACATCCCCCCCCGTATTAAAGTAAAAAAAAATAAAATTTATAACAAATAGGATACATGAATTAATAAAATATGTAAACTAAAATCGATTAAGGAAATTCGACTAGGCTGAGACCTTTAAGTAGGTACGTAACTATTTTATCACAACCTAAATATTCCTATTATTTAAATTTAAATTCAGGGATGATTATATAGAAACACTTCCTAAGATTTTATGATTCATTCACCTCTCATGAGTACACCTCCATTTCTACGTTTTTTTCTTATAAATCTGCTACGATAAAGTTGGAAAAAAAAATTAAATAAGTAAAGTATATTTTATAGAACATATTTTCATAAACATTTTCACAGAACTAGTTAGATCCTGAAAACGTAGTATTTTTATTTTAAGGTAGTGCAAACTAAGAAATATAAAATACTTTTCAGTTTTTTATCATTATACATTTTTAGCTGAAAAAGTTCTAGAAAATTACCTATGTTATAACGGCTGACCCCCTTCCTTCCATGTTTAATGTATACAAATTTTAATAAATCCAATTGTTTTGTTCAGATATTTTCAAGTATATATTTTATAAGATATTATCAAGTATATATTATATCAAGTATATATTTTATACGCAAATAAAAAAATACAACTTCCAAACAAAGATCCTATATATTATTTCTAAAAGGTGTTCTTTTGTCGTTACACCATAACTTCGTCAATTCTTCATCAAATCCAATGATTGACCACTCATTTTGAAGATATTCTTCAAATAGTTATAGAGGAAAAGAAACTTAATTTGCGAATAACTCAAAAGTATGTATTTTTTTTATTGTGCCCATGATAATTAAAAAGATTACTAAATTACCTACAAAACAAAAAAAAAAATCGTAAAATTCGGACAATTATTGACAAAGATACAGTCCATTAGTTTCGGTATACTTAATAATGTCTTATTGTTTAAAGATATTGCATTTAGGAGTAGAATAGTCTACTACATTTTTTTTTCCTTGTTTTTATATTAACTTTATTATTTCTTAAAGACATTTGGTTGCTCTTACATTTTATTTTTTTTTTAATTATTAAGAATATCCTTCTTGAAGGTCTTTATTACTTTTATTATCTTTCCAGTCAGCGTTTAAAAATAGGTCCTAGCAAAGTTATTTGTATAAATATTTTGGTCTATTATGTTTAATGGAATATTGTAATCGACCAAGGAAAAAATATTAATTCCTTCCTTACATAATACATAGGAACTACTTATTTCCATATTGTTTTACTATTTCTTCACAAAATAAAAATTTGTCTGCGAATTTTTCGCACGGGCCAACTAGTATAAATTTATTTATAAATATTGAATATTATATTTGTTCATTTCACAATAATTATGTTGAATTTTTACACATAATAAAACTACTACCTTCCTTTTTTTTTTGTTCCTTTACCCTCCCCCTCCATCGAAATGGAAAGAATGCGTCTATGATTATAATTAGTAATTTTTAATGTTGATGAGTGTATATTTTAAATATTGGTGATGCTTTTATTAATTAATTTATTTCAATTTGACAAGTTATAACAATGTTTCATATTTATTTGGTCTGATCTATTTCAGAGTCACAGAAAAAAACAATATTATTTTTATTATTATGCAAAGAATGTTATTTTTATTAACAGTACAATAAATAAATGAGGAAGTACTAACCTGAAGTAGATGTGACCCCAGCTCCCTGATGGTGGCCTCCCTGGGCTGGGACTGTGGCGCAGCTCCCCAAGCGTCGCCAAGACCTAGTCGCATAAAAAATATGAGTAATAAAACAATTGAAAAAATTGAATTGAAGAATAAAACAATTACCTAATTTTCAAAAATTTGCAACAATTAACTAAAATTCAAAAATACTAAACATAAATATAAATGAAAATGTAATTGATTGAAAAAAGTTTTTTTATTTCCTTCCCTTTCTATATCGAGTACGAGGGCCGTGTATTTGTCAACTAGTACATGTTCCATTACTACAATATAACAAAAAAGTAAAATAATACAGAAATTACAAGATATCGAGAACTTCAAATTTTCGTAATTTAACACCTGAAAAAGAAAACCATAAAATAATTAAAATGAAATAAAACATATAAAAACAAATAAATCTAATTATTAGTCTCTTGGGTCATCTTGAAGGAGTCAAGTTCAAATTCAATATTTAGTTACTTCACCCCGTTCTTAAACATTTCCATCTGGAAAATATTCTTTTTTTTTTTGAGCGGGGTGCCGACCTAAAGGGACGCCCGTTGGGGGCGCCGATCATCAGGGCCATAGCCACTTGTTAGAAATTAAAATAAAAAATAAGAAATGTACTAAAATATTTAATTTTAGTCTATTAATAAATAAATAAGCTGTATTAGAAAAATATTGAATGAAATAAAATTCAAATACTGCATTGTATAAAACAGCTGAAGAAATTTTTTTTTTGGGGGGGAGAGGAGGAGAGGGACGTCTAAGGCCGAATGTCTAAGGCCGGCACTGAACAATACTTCTGATTAAATATGTGATAAGGTGTACTGTCGAAAATAAAGCTGTGGTAGATAATATGATGAAATGTTTTGAGGAGTTTTTCTGTGGTAGTCACATGTGTCAGTGTTAGTCAGATAAAAATGTTTTTTGATTTATCTAACTATTTCATTATTTTTTTTAAGGAAATTTGTCCATTTGCGAAAAGGGAGGAGATATAAAATATCTTGGGTCTAGCATGAGACATGCCTTTCAGGTATCTTATTTATGTAGAACCCAATCCTGTGTAATTTAGTATCTTTACCATTTTGTTGATTTTTTTTTTTTTTAATTAATGTGAATTCCTCGGTTGTTAGTAGCACAACTGCATTTCATGATATTATCTTGCTTAGTTTAATTATATACAATTATGCCATACTTGATGCTTGCGTTATATTTTTACTACTACCTCCCCAATGTATTTAACCAAAAACATCTAACCCAAGATAAGTTTTAGGCCGCTGTGACAAATGATGACATACATTTATATATCTGCGACAACCCATTATTAAAAATTTTGGTCGAAGCGCTGTCAAATGAATTACATCCACAAAGGATTAATAGATTATAAAAAGCACCGCAGAATTCGAACGGCGGCGTATACCGGCATAGGGCGCCAATTATATCAGGACCGGTGACACGGAAGCAGAAGTCAAACGCCGGTGTACTAATGATTGTGAAGGCAGTGTTGATTTAAAGGGCCGCTGCAGGGGACCAATCAGCGATGTCGTTAGCGGCGCGTGCCCCCTTTGTCTACCGGCTGTCTGCTCTCGTTAGCGGGCCCAGCTCTAGCTATACCGTAGCTCTGTCGCTCTACCGCCCTGCTCTGCCGAGATCTAGTTAGAGTTCTGTCCTTCCTCTCCTCAATGGAACACTGCCAGCTCCCCGAACTTCGGGGTGTATGCTTTCCATTGTTCAAATATAATTCGTATCACACGGGTTTACCTCTTATGACGTGGAGGTAAATGTAAAACGAAAGGCAGTAAACCTCGACATTAATCCAAAGATAAATTGGAACTTACGGATAAATATGGAGCAAGATACATAATTGGGGAGAATGTGGACAAAGCAAGTAGATAATAAGTTGTATTTGTTCAGTATCATTAGCAACCATGAAATGAAAATATATATTTTTTATTATTCCGGGACTGTAGTTGTTATTTTATTAATAATTGACCGGAAACTTAAATTATGAGAAACTCTATAAGGTTTGCATGAAGTATTATTTTTTTAAACTATTTATTTATTGAATATTACAACATTCCGTCACTTGGACATCAGTCATAGTGAGGCAGGATCACTTTCACACTGTATGAACAAAAACATATAAAATAAACAGAAGCAAAATAAATAATAATCAAAAAGTAGATACAATAAATAAAATAACTTAAAAATAAGGAAATCAAAAAAATCAAGAACCCCATACATAACTATAAACACTATTTACAATCAGGCAAGGGAACTCCGTGACAGGCTTGTCCCTCCAACTATAGAGGCATAAGCAGGAATTCAGGAGAACCCTGCTCTACTCTCTCAACCGCAACACCGGCACTAAAGCAAGCGAAGATAGATCGAGAGCGCTGTAGTCACATACACGCTTTGCCAGAACTCTAATATATACGATCTACAAAAGACCGCGGGGCCACTGCCGTTTTAACCTTCTTGGAAGATTATAGGGATGAGTGGTGCTTCACAGCCATTGCTCAAGAGGATTTGGATGATACGTAAGGTTCTAGTGAAATTTAGAGAATTTTTCTGGAATAAGGTCTAGGACAAATGGGAAGTTGAGATCATGATGTATGTAGGGTTTTGTTGGTTACATAGAAAGGAATATCGACTATTGTTCGAAGGACTTTGGATGCGTTTGATGTTTGCTGTCCCCCACAGTGAAGTACTTTAGGTTAGGAAGCTATCATCAGAAACAGGTATTTCTAAAGTAATTATTCATAGGATTTAAACCCGATTAAACTTACCTTAAGGTAGGTTAAAACATTTCACAAATCATGGAAAACAAAAAGGCCTAAAACGGTCGTTTCTCTAAGTTAGTGTGTTTCTTGTTTCTTGTTTGTGACCGTTCCATCAACTGTCATTTTTTCAAGACAAACCATAGGAAGTTCAGGTAAGCACTAATGTCGCTTTTATTTATCAAATTTCCTTCATCCTTCATCTCCTTTTTACGAATTCTTTAATTTTCTTCGGCTTCCTTTGTTTTTTTATTTTCTTAAATTACAATAGGTTAGGGCAGAAGCCCTCACTTTTTCTAATTTGAGGGCACATTTATAGCTTAATAGGCAAGTGAGGGGCACCAATTGGTTTCTGTTTTTCTTCATTTTTCATTGTTTGATATTTTTAATTGTTATAAAAAAGAATAATATTCGCAAATAACAAAGTATTGCTTATAAAGATAATATGTAAAGTAAATAATTATTTAATAATACATTAGACATATAAACAAAATACGAATAAAAAAAAAATATTTTTTTTATTAGTCATGATATCTACAACTGTATTAGTATAAATACATCAAGTAAATGTGCACATAGAGATATAATCACATGAAAACGCTTGTTGAGAAACTACCCATTGGTAGCACTCTAATAATATGTCTACATAAGGAGATCACGAGGCCGTCTTCTTTTCAGACGCATCAGAGGGTTATGAGAAATCGAAGAGAAAGCAAGATTAGAAAGAAGAGGATTCGGATGGTTATGAAGTTTACTATGGAAGGATAGGTATCTGGATGTTAAAAAGTTGAAATATCGTTTGCCTAAAAGTACAATATAAAAGAACTATGCAATAGTTTAACGTATAAGAAAAAAAATTGGTAGTTTCGGATGTTGTATGCTTAAAAAAGCATTTGTTAATGTACTTAGGGTGCGTATCAAGCACGAATACTCCAAATTATTCAGCTAATAATAACGCAAAATGCTAGAAATATATTAATAGCGTATTTAGCGGTGATTTGAAAATAACATTGAGTCACAAATATATGAACCAATTGAATTATAAATTCATCTCTTAGATGGGAACACCATTTAATTTGATTATTGAGATCAGAAATCTGACTTAAGTATTTTCTTATGTACGTAGCAAGAAACGATATGCTAAACCGAAAACTAGACATATAAATATTGTACTACACTTTTGCCAAAAAAGAAATTAGAAAAATGAAGTATTGGATTTGAATGAGAAGGAGTAGTCTAATGTAAAAGACCAATCAGTTTTTTTTTATATTAATAAAAAATTGATCATTTATAAAATGTAGAAATAACATTGTCTGGTGGGGAATTCAAGCAACTCAGCATGTCGTAAGTAGGTCGGTAGACAATGCAATACTCACAACTAAACAGTTGATTTCAATCTTCAGTCACGGGTTTTGTATAGTAGTATCGTGTGCGTCAGTCAACATTGCCTTAACTTATCCATAGTTTTAACGGAATTGACTAGGAATAAATGTAAAAAAATATATATCTAGGTAAAGTAATTTATTCCTTTTTTAGCGTATTATTAATAATTCAATATAATAAAATGAGCTGCATTTTTAACTGATAGAATAAAAAAAATATATAACTCTGATTAGTTTCATTAGTAATTATTTTATTAAATTCATAAATATACATACATAAATACATAAAACTGTGTAATAGTTTTTTAAAAACAAAAAAAGACACGTTTTCGTCTAATTTCTCAGGTTTTATCGTCAATAATCGTACAAAAAGAATTTAATATTTTTAAATTAAAAAACAGTGAGCTGAAACATTAATTTCGAAATCACAATAATCACGATTAAATAAGTTAAAGGTTCAAATTAAAAAATGTTTAAAAAATTTATAGAATGATTAGTTCATTAGTGTTTTTGAAAATTACAAAGATATATGAAAATAAAAAGTATGATCTAACATAAAAATCAGGTCATTACTACAGTTAAACGATATTTGAAAAAAGTTAAATACACTTTGAACTGGTAAAATATAGTTATTATTAACATATTACGATCAACAACAAAAATTTGAAAAACATAACGTTTAGACTGATAGAAAATAATGATTATTAATCTATTATACTCAATGCACATAAATAACTATAATAGATGCAAAATAAAAATTAGATCATTACCTAAGTTAAATAATATTCGATAAATATAACGTTTAAACTGATAAAATATGATAAGCATTAGTCTATTAAAATCAATAACTAAATATATAAAAATAAATAAAGAATATTTAATCTAAAAATCAGT